ATATATATATAATATATATATATAGTATATGTGTAGTGTGTGTGTGTAGTAGTATATATATATATATATATATATATATATATATATATATATATATATATATGTGTGTGTGTGTGTGTGAGTAAGATTGATTTCAGGACGTTCTCACGCAGAATTGGAGTTAAATACGAACCGGGAGTAGTCCAGTGTTTTAGGGTCTATAGATATGACGGTGTTTTAGTATACTCGATGTGCGAGTCAATTGGACACTTCTTGGGTTACTCTAACACTGACATCGAACTACAGGTGCTTCACCTCTGGCGTTACGCTTAATAACATCGAACTACAAGTAATATAAGATTAAAAGGTTATATCAATACATGAAGATTTTTGTGATAATATTCGTACATTGCATGCCAATTATAGTATATAATGTATGATACAATACAACCCAATCACATATACATGATGACATGTGTTGGATGCTAATCATAGTAATGTATGATGCAACACAACGCAATTACGTATATATGACGACATATGTGATAATATTCGTACGTTGGATTATAAATTAGACTATTTATTGCATGATGACATACGGTGATAAATATATGTCATATAGAAATTAATGTCTGATGTCATTTGCACTTATCAATGTATGATGTCATATGCACTTATCAAATGTATGATGTTATATAGAATTGAATGTATGATGTCATATGCACTTGTCACAGGGCCCCGTTGTCCGGCCCAGGTCCGTTGTGCTGAGTGCCATAGCGCACTTTCTCTTAGTGGAGGGCAAGACCAATACGACTGCGACATACACTGAAGCGATACCGTACGGCACTGACATGACACCCCCACGTGTGCTATTAATAGATTCTCTGAGCAGTGAACACGCCATGCTGCGGCGCGTGGCGCTGAATCTGCTGCACACACTGCTGCGGGCGGTGGGTGCGCACGTGCTGGTCTGTCTAGTGCTCCCGTTTATAGTCCCCAGCCAAGACGACGACAGAGCGCAAGAGAGTACCAGAGACGGGTACCATAGACCGCTGCACCAATCAGATGACAGCAATGAAGTTCGTCGCGGCGGCGACACCCAATCGGAATTGAGCTACGGAATCGAGGACGCCTTTCCCGCGCATTTCATTGACCTTCTCACCACTGCGCATGTGCACTCGCCGGATGACGGGTCCTTTGTAGAGTATCTGGACGGAGCAGCCGCCGCCATCCATCGGGCGGAGACCAGTCCGTGGTACCGAACTTCACCAGACCACACACCAACCCACTCTCACACACAGCAGCCCCACACACACACACCGGCCCATCAGCGTAATACGCCACACACGGCCGGTGCCGCTCCACCCAGGGATATCACAACCCGGCCAAGCGACGACGAGGACAGCGTCATGGGGGGTACAGACACCCCACACGCACAGTTGCATGCTGGGAAACATAAGCGGTTGTGGGCAGACAGAGTCAATCTGCTGCGCGCGCTGTTGAGCCGTTTCACACACTTCTACACGCTGCCCGTGGCGGAGACTGTGCTGCTCACCACTCTTATGACCGCCATGTCGGCCTTTGGCGGGCGATTCGAGGAGCTGCGAAGGTGTGTGCACACGCGCGTATGCAATAGAGAGAGTGTGAATCTCTATTTGTTGGTGGTTTCTATAGAGTGTGTATATATATTTGTGGGTGGGTTCTATAGAGTGTGTGCATGTATTTGTGGGTGGGTTCTATAGAGTGTGTGCATGTATTTGTGAGTGTGTTCTATAGAGTGTGTCCATGTATTTGTGAGTGGGTTCTATAGAGTTTGTGCCTGTATTTATGGGTGAGTTCTATAGGATGGGTGCATGTATCTGTGGGTGGGTTCTATAGAGTGTGTGCATGTATTTGTGGGTGGGTTCTTCCTACCCCCTCCAGACTTTTGCCACATATCTTACACACACCCAATATACCTCTGTTTTTTCAATCTGATGTAGGTACCTGCTTGACCCAAGTGCCAACAGTGTCACGGCTTTTGGACTCATCGAGGGTGAAGAGGACAATCCTTTCAACACAGAGTTAGACTCGGGCAGCACATGTCTGTACGATACTCTGCGCTCTGTTGCTTTAGGTATGAGCTTTAGAACTGGCATATGAACTTAACGCCGCTATACACTTCACATATCGCTTCTTATATAGTATAGAGACTATACTGAGAACATTTGGTGGGCTGTCTTGAAGTTTCAGTTTTCCTCCTAAATTGTGAAGTAGGCTTAACCAGGCTGAATATATCGCACTATGCGAAAGGAATTAACGCCACGCAGGCATGTCACTCACACAACATACATAATACATACACGGTAGTTCATCTCACTCACACAACATACATGCACGGTAGTTTATCTCACGGTGTTTGTGTCAGGAAAGTCGTCGGTATTAACACGCGCTCATAGTTGTCTCTGCGGCATCGCTGCCTACTGGAATCACCTATTGGTGCCTGCGCCAATGATCGCTGTGATGCGTGTTAGATTTTATCGTGAGTTCCGGCATGCAGATGGCTTTGTATCGTTGTTAGGCATCTTTTGTATATCGTCACTGTACCTGAGCAGTACATGAGTAGCTGATATCGACTATCGACAACTTGCTGCACGGGACATTCGACCGATTCGTTTGCTAAGTTGCATTTAGTGTGGCGTTTAAGACAAAGGTTGGAGTTGATAAGTTATTTGGTATCCAAGTGGTGCTGTCGGCGTCGAATTCACCTATATCTCACAGCCCATTATTTTTACTGTTTCGATTAAACATCCCGTCAGAGGGGAAAACGTTTATAGAAGCAGGAATAGATGATTACGAACACTCCGCGGAAGTGCTGAGGAGTGCCATGGGACGTAGAGCAAACGCTGGCGTTAGACGCACTGCCAGTACAAACATGCTCAGAGGAACCAGCGGTGCAAGTGCCAACAAACCTGCCCGGTCCAGTACCAAAAACAAGACAGATGATTATGGGCCGAGTGCGGGATGCGACACGGGCGGCACTGATAGGAATATCCCCTCTGGTACCGGTATGCCGAGGAGTAGGGGGGGGTTGAGCGGAGCTCTGAAACGCATGGTGAGTACAGGAGTGGGTAGAAGGAATACAGGTAGTGTGGCATACACAGAAGAGGAACATGAGGAAGTGGGTACGGACACACACGTGCATACGGGGTGGGGAACACAAATGAGTGCAGGAAATGAAGGCGTGGAGATGCCACCCGGGTTGGTGCGTCGACAAGAGTCGGCTAATCACCTACAGCTGTCGAGTCAGGAGAAGATTGCGATACAAAATATGACTATACTCGAGGAGTTTCTGAAGGGGCTCACGGCGTATAGTATTGAGCAGTACGCTCTGAGATAATAGAGGTAGTAGTAGTAAATGAGCTGAAATATATGGCATCCGCTATCATGCACGGAAAACCCCTATTCTCACAAAATTTTGCATCGTAAGCATGAAATTTCGCACCTGTCAGTGGACACAACGAGCCACATGAGGATGTGAATGGGGTGAAATACCTCAACGACATATTTTCGAGAGGAGCCCACCACACTTTTGGGCTGACTGTGGGAGCACAGACCATTGCACCTGGTATAGAAGACCATTCATCTAGGACGGTTAATATACTTGGTAGGTAGAATACAATCTAGAAACCTTTGAACCCTAAAGTTTGTTTACCATCTATTAGCACCACTAGAATTTATACTTCCTCGTACAACCTCGAAGGCTTGATACTTCAGTCTTTTCAAAACTGCAACAAAAAAAAGTACTCCACATCGCCGTGTTTTTGTTCTTCACAAACGTACCTTGTTTCATCCACTAGAACGCTTGTCTATACGCGTGTACAATATCCCCCTAGTGGGTTCGGGAGAAGCCTAAACTTCACCCCCGTAAGTGCGCGGATGTGCATAACAGTCAAAGTCAGCACTGACGGGAAGACATTGTTTTCATTCGGCTTCTCACATCATTAAATTAGGAGCTCACGACTCAGATGTCAAGGATGTATTTGACTCCACCGCCGGCTCTATTCCACTGTTCATGATAGTAGAAATCTGTGAATAAATAGTCCGCCAGCAGAAGTTATTGTGTATCTATGTGATCTGGAACACAATCGAACCCCTGCGCCACGGCATAAGATCATCATGTATAAGGCTCATCGTGAATAATCGTGGTCGAAAACAACCGCAACCGCCGTCTGGGACTGATAATCAAAGACGGCGAGGGTGTGTGAATCGTACAAATCATAAAAACTAATTGCGTAGCCTGATTTGTCCATATTTCTAATTCCGAGATGTGAGGTTGCCATGCTTAACAGAAATTATCCCGGTCATGATATGATAAGAATGTACTATGGCTAGACCAGATTCACTGGAGGGAAAAAAATCTGGTAATAGCATTTAGCTTACAGCGAGCTGTTTTACCAGATTTCGCCGAGATATTTATACTGGATTTTTTTTGCCCAGTAAATTTAAGAAATTTTTACCTCTGAAATGAGTTTTTATTTGTTATTTTTGAAAGGCTTTGTCTGAAATCTACATTTCAACAACTCAAGAGGAATACTTGCAAGGGAGAAAATAGTGGATGATAGATCATACAAGCCTTTGCATTTTTTTATTCTGGTGTAAACATGAAAGAAGCTGTCAAGATAGAGGGAGAAAATAATATGATTGCTTGTGCAAGACTCAGTCTTTTGCATGTATATAAGTATCGGCAATAGTTGATGCAAGATCATTAGTGAATTTGAACAGGGTTACAAAATCTTGGCTATACAACGCCGGCCTGCCGCGAATTGAAAATATTCATTCTCAATAAAACACTGTTAATTTTGTAGCGGCCAATTAAAAACGACGGACTTTAGTTCGTTCACGTATTTTTATTTATTTATTTATTTTTGCATTTTTTGCTCTAGAGGGCCATGACAGCATTTCATGCTACCAAGTTGTTGCCGTCAGATAGTGTCGTTACCGTATCTTTGTTTTTTGAAAGTGAGTGTACCATCAGTGTAGTTGAAATTCCATCTTCTATTGTAGAGCATGGCCTTAAAATTGCCTGCAAACTGGTGAGTACGTCAAACTTGGGATATGCTGTCGTGTATGTATGAAACTTACTAGTGATGAGAACAAACATATGCATCAAACTACCCAGAGGGAAGGTGAGACTACAGGTCTCAGATCAGATTTTACAGCAAGAAGCCCGCTTTGATTTATAGAAGTCATTAGAATTAGCTCACTCCCGAGAGCTAATCAAGTTGCTTAAAGTACTCCCAAGGGTTGAGTTGATACTTAACCAAATCCCGCGAGCAGATTAAGTGTCTCAACCAAATCTCGGGGGTGGATTGAGACTGTCAACCGCAACATTAAAAAATAGCTGCGTTCTTATGTGTGTCACAGCCTATGCGGAAAGGCATCATGTGATCGGCGAGAGATTTAGTTGCAGAGAAGTCGACATAGAGTAGCATCAAAGTGTTAAAGTGCTCCGCGGAAGGTTTCTCATACTTATCATCCGATTTTTCGCCCTGGCCAGCCCAAGCGGCTGAACAATAGCACAAACACCTTAGGTATAAAACCAAAGGTGAGGTCAGAAATAAATACATACATTTGCGCTTTATTTAATGTCTACTGCATTACACTCGAACAGGGAACGGGATTGCGATAATACTCCACTATATCACAAACCACATGTGTCAGAGCTGTGCTCTATTTGTATAGGAAGCGACCTATGTATCAGGGAAATCTCCTGACCTTGCATTTATATGCCTTGCCAAAAGTTCGTGATGATGGTCACCGATTAACAATTTTATAAATGACACTTTACATTGCCAATGTATTTCCAAATCAGTCGGTTATACTTCGATTTCAATTATGCATGTTACCGAATGCACGAGTCGCGCAGAAAGGTTTCTAAATCCGTGCTTTAAACGGTTTGACCGAACGTGTCAAGTACTATTCTGTATCGGATGTATGAGGTTGGCTTAAAATCTTTTCGATGAAACTCATAAAAGTTGTCTCTTCCAACTGCAGAACTACGAATATATGCCTTTTTGAATGCCGCGAGCTCACTCGACCCAACCTAGCATGAAAGCTATCACAATTCAATAACATATCGTTGTTGGTTGTGTTTTCTGTTTAATACTGTCAAAAAAACTTTTATATCATTTTGACTCTTGAAGGCAGACTGATTCCATCTTTCTAAACCTGATACATTTGTATCAGTAAGAAGGACAATAAACCGTGTTTAAAATCGAGAAAAAAAAAATATTCATTTGCAAATTACTACCTATTTCAATTTGTCTAGCAACTTTATTCAATCATTTTGTCTGTTCGTTAGCTATTGAGGGCGACTAAAACGATGAATACAATCCTTATGCGAGTAAATATATCTTGTACATTTCTTTCTTTAAAAATTTAAGTTTAGTCCGCATAGAACTATTCAATCTCATCCTCAAAACAACTACCAAGACAATGACTGTCACTCAAACAGTTTAAAAGTAATTTCATTTTGAAAAACCGTGCATTGTTCGATGTTCCATCCGTGCCAGATAAAATACCGACCAAAACTATAGTACAATATTGACAGATTATATCATCTATATATTTTCTATTTTATCTGATTTTGTATATTCAATAGCACATTTTTTTGTTTTCCAGTTCATGCCTGTGGCACCTTCAAGTGTCTGTCGTTTCGTAGGGTTTATATTCTGTCTCATGTCGATGTGTTCTGGTAACTAGTATCTAATAGGCGGTGCCATATACTTACGATTTCGTCTACCCTGCAGAATCACTCCATTTTGTTTATTTTAATGTTGCATGGAATCGCATTGAACTGACTTCGAACGAGCGCTTGACGAGGCTTGTTTCCGTAGTAATAACGCCTGTTCCCGTGAGGGGGTATATGATGGTGGTGATGTGATAAGGTTTAGGACGAACCCATGAAATAATCTCAACTCATGGTGTGACCTAAGTTCTTTTTCAATCCCGAATTACACTCCTTTTGGTTTCAGTTACACCATAATACAGAGATTGAAGCTCTCTCGTCTCACTTCAGTCACTTGCAATTCCCCTTCCATAAATCAGGACGCACAATGGTAGTCGCTAGCCATACAACCATTGTAGTAAAACGTAGACGTGTTATCCAATGGGTGGCGTACAGTTGGTCCGTAGTTTATATCTAATTTCACTTTATGGGACGTACGTTTAACAGACATGTAACTGATATTGTTGTTTCCAGATATTCTGGCGAGACTTCACCAGGTGCTACCAGTACAGCCTCGTAGATAGCAAGGTGTTGATTGGTCGAGAGCTGTTAAAAATTGGAGAAATATATAGCAAAGAAATTGAAAAACAAATCAATTTTAACCAATGAAACCTTCAAAATATGTTTGAATTTGTCACGATAGATCCCAAAGTTGAGGACATTACATCATTTCAAACCAAACACGATTGGCTATGTTTGAACGTAAACCAATAGTACAGAGTAACTGAAAGCCAGGAAATTGTCCACTTTCAGATGTGCATTGCATTATGCACCTGTCGAAACAGACAAATACAAATTGCCCTCACGTGCAAGCATAGCAAATCATTGCAATGTCACTACCAGAACCTTCCAGGCACCGTGTATACTGTCACGGCACAAACGTTGAGGGTTGGTCAACGTCTGTCAACCGCCGGTAAAAAGATAAGAAGCACGGGCTAACAATTTAGAAGTTGACACAAAGCTGTATAGCACAGGTTAGCGCTGATCAATACCCTCTAACAAACAATACCCCCTCACATACTTATCAGTATCACACTATTCACACTATAGTATACACGCAAGATACCCACACACGTACATAGTTATGACAGAAGAGGACGATGAAGGAACTAAACGTAATGCTCTACCCCCACTTCACAGGACACCAGCAAACGTGTCTAATAATAGCACCTTCAATCCCTTTTCAAATTCGTTGCATGCACAACATGCGCATACATCAGCTCGGGTTACAAACACGCCCAATTCAATAGAACGCAGGTACATAGACCAGATACAAAGTGCAACACATAGAAGGAACACAAACGGTGAACCACGACAATCGCGACAACATCGAAATAAATTACAATTTTAGAGGGAGCAGATTACACAAACGCATCACAGAAGGGACAACCAACTGATGCGTGCGATAAAAAATAACATTAGGCCTGACACAAACAATCAGCACAAACGCAAAAGACTTACGAACGAGAATCTTCGTCAGATACCACCAAGAACACAAACGATAAATATACGCGAGCTACGCAACGAAACACTAGGACGTAATCTGGCCGATGAATTTAGCGACACAAGCACAACTTACAACAGAAGCGTATTTTCACATACATTCAGCACACAGACAAACGAAGCTTCTACGAGCGGTGAAACGATTACACACACGCACAAGGGTAGCACCGGTGACGAAAATACACATACACAGAAAACCAGAACAAGCAATTCAGATACACGAGTGAACGAAGTTAGTAGCACAAGTGAG